GTTCAGGAGAAATATTTAAATGTAGCATGCACCTCCCCCCACCCCCATCCCTTACTTCTCAAAGTATGGAGTTAGCCATACCTAGTTCCTCTCTGCAGGTAGCTCACCAGGTGAACCATCAAAGTGAGCATCACAGGGGAGCATGGTTGAAATGCATATTCCCAGGACCCACCCCAGACCTGCTAAAACACACACTCTGTGGATAGGATCCAGCTGTTTTCACAGCCCTTCAGATGAGAACCTAGGCTTGAGAACCATGAGCTTCTGCTTTCACCACCTTCCCAAGGTTTTTCTGACCCCACAGTCACCTCTGGCATCTCTCCCAATAGAACACAATAGTCCAGTCCTTTACCTGCTTTTGCCCTAAGCACTCTTTTGGAAAGTGAATACATTCTGTCCCTGTTTTATACTGGCCAGAAAATGACTTTGTTCAAAGCCTAAGTTTTCTTTGATTCTGACTGTAGTTTTTTTATAGCTACAGTGGGTGTTTGGCTACACATACATAAAATATTTTCCAAGTTTAGATTATTATGACATTGTTTTGTAGTACAGACCTAGGTTTTCGTTCTTAAGAGAATGGCTGTCCTGCCCTGCCTAGCTCCTTGCCTGTTAATTCCCCTGAGCCGCTGGTCTGTTTTTATGGCATGGACACTTTGTGTCTCTGCATGTTGTTGTTTTTGTTGTGTACCACCAAGTTGGCACCAATAATAGCTGACCTTCCAGTGGGTTTTCAGAGGCAGTAAACACGTGGGAGAAGATTGCCCAACCTTCCTGCTCTCAGAGCAGCTGTGTGTTTGAATGGGCAAGTGCAGCTCCTTCCCACTAAGCCTCCAGCTCAAGGGAGCCTTGCGTGCAGCAGGATAGAATGTGGCTTGATCCTGCATCTTTCTCACTACCAACAGGATGTTTGAATCCATTTCGCTGAGGGTGTCCTTGGACTTCACAAGCCCTTTGCTTCATCAAACATAATGTCCTCTCCAGGCATTGATTCCTTCTGATAATGTGTCCAAAGCAAGTGAGTTGGCCGCGTTCTGCTGGGATCACAGGGTGTTCATTAACTCCTTTTTTAGAAATAGATGTTCAGTCCTTTCTTCCTAATCTGTTTTATTAACCTAGTGTTGCTACAACAGAAAGACTAGAAGTGGCTATCTTTACCAAGCAAACATTTATTTTCTCACAGTATGGGAGGTTAGAAGTTTGAATTCTGAGTACAGCTGTCAGGGAACGGTCTCATTTTCTCTTCACTCTGGAGGAAGGGCTTTGTGTCTTTGTAGCCCGTGTTCCTAGGTTCCTTAACTGAGCCTGTGCCATGTATCTGCCCTCCTGGTTATGCTTGCTTGCCTAAATGGCTTTTTTTTTTACTTCAAAAGAAACTGATTTAAACTGTGTCTTAAACTAGTACTGCCTCATTAACATAACAAAATCCATTCTAAATGGGATTATAATCCTAAATATAGGGATTCAGATTTACAACATGTATTTTTGGGGACACAGGTCAATCTATAACATAATCTCTCTCAGTCTGTAAGGTTTATTGAAACCTGCCCACCTTGGGTGACCTTCTGATGCTTGAAGAACTGGTGGCACAGCTTCCACGTAAGCCAGCACAGTCTGAGAACTTGGCTGGCTGGTGATGGGTTTGTTTTGGTTTGGTTTTTTTCACAAACCACTAGGGAGCTGTAGAGGCAAATTTGTGCTCTGTCTGAACACTTGGCCTTTGTACTCTATGTCTTGATCTCACTCTTAGTTGTATCTTTTCTTCTTCTTCCCATTGTTTTCTCTTTGTCCTTATTTTTCCCAACTACAGATGTTTCTAACATTTTAAAAAAAATTTCATCTTATATTCTTTGAATCTTTGCCAGCAGTGTTGATTAATTTTCTAAGAAAAGATTTTAAATAAAATTCAAAGGTTTGGGGTTTTTTTTTCTTCCTTTGCTGTGTAACATACTAAAAACAATGAACACTTAGCAGATAATGTCTTTTAAGTGGCCGTGTATACACAGGCCTGTCTGATTCCAAATCTAAGGCTTCAGCTTTGTTCTGTGTGGGCAAAGAGTCAGTGAAAACACTTCTTAAAACTCAGAAAACCAGCAAAATGAGAATTTAGTGGAGACAGTCAAGTGAAGGACATTCAAGATCAATGGGTGAGAAGACTTTTTAATAGGTGTTAATATGACCTTTTTTATAAAAGATGTTTGGTCATAAATGAATAGCTCCAAGAGTAGAATAATTAAATTGTGGTGAGAATAATTTGCTCCTGAGATTAGAGATGCCCTAGAAACCTGAAGCTCAATAACCTGTCTGATTATCAAATGGTTGTGGATACATGACAGTTGGGTTGCTATTTGAGTGATATGCTTTGCTCAGTTTACTTTGTAATTTAAAACTTAGCCACTCTTTTTAAAAAGTTGGCATACAAGTTTTTCTTAGATCTGTCAGTTACAGAATTAACCTTAACCCAAATTACTTTGGCTAATATTTTCAGTAAAACCAGATCAAATTGAGTGTCAGATTTGTTTGGCGTGTGACCTTAGCCTTGTTGCAGGTAGAGGGCCCGGGGACACTCCCAGCCCCCATTTCTCACCCCTCCATAGGTACCTGATAGGGAAGAGTCTGCTACCATTTATTGAATGTCCCTCTCACCAAGGGGTCTTTGGTAGCCTAGGGGTAAGGAGTTGCACTGCTAGCCCCAAAGGCAGGTGGTTCAAATCCACCAGTTGCTATGAGGAACGAAGATAAGCAGTCTTCTTTTATGTGATTTACCAATTCTGAAAACGTTCAGAAGGCTCAGCCATGAGATAGCAATAAGTTGTAAGTAGACTTGATGTACTAGTTAGGCACCTCAGCAACTTTAAGGTTTTTCTGATCTTCACAAATCTAGTCAAGGCAAGCTTTAAGTTTTCTTGTTTGTAGTGATTTATGTTTATCTCACCTCTAATTTGGATTATAATTTGTGATAAACTATAACTTTTAAGAAATTTGAGCATGAAAGTGAATGCTTATATAAAACTAGGACCTTGATGTTCTTGTTGAATTCCCAACTGATTAAGAATCAGTCAGAGTCCTTTGTATTGTTACACTTTGAGTCAGTGTTAGAGACTATTACGTAAATGGCATTTTAGTGGCTTGATAATTTTAAAGATCTCTATTGTCTTGGCGGATATACAACCAGGAGGCTTCTTAGAGGCAAGGATGGTGAAACTTTGTCTTACATACTTTGAGGATGTTGTCAAGAGAGGTCACTCAGTACTTGGAAAAAAAGACATCCTGCTGGGAAAGGCAGAGAACAAAGGAGAGTTGTCAGCCTGTCAACACAGAAACTGTAGCAATGGGCTTGAGCATGGTGGGGATTGTGAGGATGGTGTAGGACAGGGCAAGATGTCACTGGGTCCCTGTTGTTCATAGGGTCACTATGAGTCGTAGTCGATGGGACAGCACTAACAGCAACAACCAATTAATAGAGAGGAGATGTGGCCATATGGTGATCAAACACTTAGCCACCAACTGAAATGCCATCATCCATTTAACCTACTAAACTGCTCCCTGGGAGGAAAATGTGATGGTCTGCTTCAATAAGGATGACCAAGGAGCCCTGTGGGGTGGTTCTTTTCTGGTCAGATAGTCCAATGGATAATTACTAGAGAACAGCGCTTGAGCAAAATTAGAGAATCTGAAAGTTATCTTTATGAGATCACCGAGGAAGCTGCTCTAGCAGTTTGCTGGAATTCAAGCAGCAGCTGTCAGAAAGGAGCTTTTCCATTCATGAAACAGAGAAAAACGGGGTGTAAAGATGGCATATGAGTTCCTAGCTATTCTTCCTTAGAGCTGAGCCGCACTTTCAGTTTCTAGATCTAGGTTTGTAGTTCTCAGGGATCTCTTAAGGAGAAGAAGGAGGTGAAGCGTGCTTATTAAGTGTCAGACATAGAAGCTTCTAGCGTGATGCCCTAATAGGATGTATTCATAGGAACAAGTGTGTGCTCCCCCTGGACCATTTCTCCAAACAGCTCTGGTTTCCTGTTGCCAAGTCTCTGCGTCTCCCTCCATCTGCTAATGTTCTTCTTTCCTCCAGGCCTGAACCCATTTTCACCAGTGTCGGGCTGTCATCAGTCCTCTCTCAACTGTGATTCTTGCTACCTGTCAGATACCCACTGTAAACCGGGTAGCCCAGACGCATATGCTCTGCATATGTTCGACTCTGCAGAGCAGGGGGCTTCTGCAGCTAATGCTCTCAAGTCTTGTTTCTTGGACTTGTTCCAGGTCCTTGAACATTTATGGGAGAGACTTGCCTGGTCTTATTAAAGATGTGCTAAAGCGATATCCTCATGTGGAAAGAACTTGCCTAGTCTGAAGAGAAAATAAAACCCACAACTCATGTCTCAGAACACGTTATGTTGTGAAATGATGCTTGAGTTTGTTGTCCTCTTACTGCATTTTAAGTGAAGATGAGCTTTCTGAAAGCCTTTGTTTCCCAGTGACTTAGAGACGACTTCTCTTTTGGGTTTCTGTAAGTTCTTTTTATTTTGAAATGTGTTTACCATCACCCCCACTCACAGGCTGGTCTGAGTAAAGAATGTTGGGCTCCAAGTTAATGGTTATAAACTATGCTTAATTAACCCTCAGTTCCAGCTGAAGGCACGAGTTAAGGATTGTGTAGCTTCTGGTTTTCCCTTCCTCCTGTTGTGGCGACCTCATTAGCCAGCACCAGAGGTGAACAATGTAGAAGCCCTGGTATTGGAATAGCAGTGCCCTGCCCTCTTTACTGCCTAGAGCTGATGGCAACATCAGCACATGAGGTTATGGGCCTGACATTTCCTATACATTGTATATTTTCTGTTGCCCTTTTGTGCAAATAAGTAAACACCAAATATGTGTATTTTACTCTAGCGATCTTAAAAATAATTTAATTTTTCTTTTTTTAATCTGCTTGGCTTTCTTCATTTCCTGGTGAGTGTAATGACCAGTGTCTTTGTTCTCTCCCTCCCCTTCCCGTGGGCATGTAGCACGTGTGGAGTGAGAGCGAGGACTGCCTGCCTTTCTTGCAGCTAGCGCAGGATTACATCTCCTCCTGCGGCAAGAAGACGCTCCAGGAAGTCTTGGAAAAAGTCTTCAAGTCTTTCAGACCCGTAGGTGCCTGCTTGGCTTCTAAAAGTGGCATACATGCTACAGTGATTGGGTGTTGGATAACATGGGAGTGTGGGGAGAGTGGGCAAACCCTGGGGGGACTAATTGTTTTTCACTTGTCTGGCCCTGGGCTTAAAGAATGGCAGCTAGGGCTGAGCAGGTGCGGGCGGCATGGGAGGGAGGTGGCCTGGCTGTTTGTTGCAAGGATGGTGATTATTTCTAGCATCATTTAAGCTGAGAATCCCTCATAGGGCAGGAAGCACATGAATCCTTTGTGAGACAGCTGAACGTCTATAGGCTCACCCTGTAGACTTAAAACCAAAATATTAGGATGTTCTCTTATAATGTTGTTGTTGTGTGTCATCGTGTTGATTCCAGCTTGTAGCAGCCCTGTAGGACAAAGTAGAACTGCCTCACAGGGTGTCCTAGGCTGTATGTTACCTTCATGGGTGCAAATGACCACGTCTTTTCTCCCTTGAAGATGCTGTTGGCGTCAAAGCACTGTCCTTTTGATTACCAACTGAATGCTTAACCATTGTACCACCGGGGCTACTTCTCTTACAGTAAGCCTAACCCAACGGTCAGTGAGTCCTTTATGATTCATGGTCATCCTCCATCAGGTTTTCTGTAAGGGAAGAGACAGCCCATCTCTCTCCCATAGGACCATAGAAATGGCCATTCTCCCACAGAGCAGTGATGGAATCATACCACTGCCATTTTGATGAGCTTTGTGTAACTTTTCTGTATTTCAGGACTTGTCAGAAAGCTATATAAAGGATGTACCTCTATTTTGTTTGGCATGGAGAAGAATGAAACTGGACATTGACTCTTCTCTCTTTCTGTAAACTCTTGGAGAAAGCTTCTGGTGGTTTTTTTATTTTTCTTTCTCCCTCCACTCATCTCTTGGGATTTAGTAACCTGTGTCTGTGGCTAGCTAGCAGTTCCTTTCATAGCTACTAAACATATAAAAGGGAATGTGCTGGCCTACTGGTAAAAAGCTACGGTGTAATCCCAAAGGTACACGTTTTGAGGCCACCAGCTGCTCCACAGGAGAAAGATGGAAATCTCCTCCCATGCTATTAACTGTTTCTGAAAACCTTCTGGACAGTCAGCTGTGAGTTGGTTCCAACTCGATGGTACTCAACAACAACAACAACAACAGATATATAAAATGAGTACCCACCCATATTTTGAAGATCACCTCTTTTCCATATCTTGAATGGAAGCTCTTGTCAGGTTACTAATGTCTTGCCAGTTTCTCTGGTTTGCAGTGCCCTGCCCAGGTTAAATACTGCCCATAATTAGTGGTATTTGCTCTATAATTTCTAGTCTCTGTATATCTTTATGGCATTTACTTCTCCACTGAAACTTGCAGGTTTTTTAATTTCTTGGAACAAAGAAAAGAT